CCTCCTCCTGTTCATTCCCCTGCCTCTCGCTCCTCCTCCTCGTCAGCAGAGGCGCCACTGGCGAGCCCTGCGCGCATACTGGACCCGCCGCCGTCCGCGCCGCGGCGCCCCGCGCGCGGCCGTCGCCGCCGCGCCTCGGCCGCCGCCCCCGCGGCCGCCGCGCCCGCCGCCGCCGTCGTCGTCGTCGTCGTCGTCGTCGTCCTCCTCCTCCTCCTTCACCTCCTCCTCCTCCTTCTCCTCCTCCTCCCTCCTCCTCCTCCTCTCCCCCCCTCCTCCTCCTCTGCCTCCTCCTCCTCCTCTTCCTCCTCCTCTTCCTCCTCCCTGTCCTCCTCCTCCTCCTCGTCCTCCTCCTCGTCCTCCTCCTCTTCCATTTCTTTCGCTTGTGATTAACTCCTCCCTGTCGCACCCCGAGGCCCGTCGGCAGGGCGGGCCGGGCGTTTCGCCCAATATTTCCTCACCATCTATGATCATGAAGCTTAGCATTTGCATCAGTTGCACGGATGGATGGCGGATAGCTTTCAACATGTGGCTCTCGCCTTAGCGCCGCGCACAGTCGTCTTCAACGCTTGGAGGGCTGGCCGTTTTGAAAACGTGACTTTCGCCTGAGCGCCAGTCACATTCGTTATTAAAGATGGAAGAGCTTCGTGGAATGAGGGCGGGCCGTTTTCATACTGTGGCTCTCGCTTTAGCGCCGCGCACATTCGTTTTGATAATTTGCAAAGTGTTCACGGATTGAAGGCGGGCCGTGTTCAACATGTGGCTCTCGCCTTCGCGCCGCGCACATTCGTCTCATACAAATGCCAGAGCTTCACGGAGGGTGGGCGGCTCCTTTTCAAAATGCGACTCACGCCTTCGCGCCGCGTACACTCGTCTCAGGAGTCTCACGGATCTTCACTGTTAACGTACCAGAGATAGTGTTCTGGAGCGATTCAGGGCTGCCAGGGCGCAACAGTTACGTTGATTCGCGGTGCTGGATTCCCAGGAATGGTGTTCTGGCGCGATCCAGGACCGTCAAGACGCAGCAGTCAACTTGATTCGTGGCGTTGGAGTCCCAAGAACGGTGCCCTGGCACGCTTCAGGATTTTCAAACGGTTGTCTCCCAATAGGGCACTGATCTCAGTGAAACTGAGCCTTTGTAGGGGCCTGTGAAGAGGGAGCTTGGGGGGAGGGTTTATCCCAACACCGTTGATGATTCTTGGTGTTCGTGCGGTCTGTTGTGACGCAGCTTACACCGGGCAGAGCGGCGCCCATGTGGGCTACCAGATTGGCACGACGTGCGCGCTGTGCCTTAGCTGCCCTGGCACTTTACGGCGTCGTCTATGGCACTGCGACGCGGTGTCTCATGAGAGGGGCGGCATTTTGACGGGAGATGTCTTGCGGCGGGCGGACGAGGACGACGACGCGCTGGTATGTTTTGGAGTTTTTCCTCACCCTGCTGATGAGTTTCCCAAGCCGCTCAAGAATCGAATTGGTCTCGGAACCTGGGGGGGGGAGATTGTGGATTTTGTGTTCGTCGGAGACGTGTTCGGGGACGGGTCTTGTTCTAGAAGGGTGGTGGGGGAGTTAAACCGTGCTGGTTGTGCCTTCTCATTCTGGAACCGTTCCACGGGTCTCGAGGTCGTTCGCGTTCGGGGACTTGTGTGGGCCCCAGTCAGCAGATGTCTCAGGCGGCTGAGTGTCATAGTTGCCCGGTTGCTTTACCATGGTCGAACGAACCCTGCGACTTGTTTGTTTGGATTGCCAGGACTGTGTCGACTTTCATATTCTGCTGTGGGCGGAACAGTGTTTACCCAAGAGGGCGCACGCAGGTGTGGCCCAGTTCTGTCGGCCCTTCTTAACCAGTTGCACGGTGCATAAGGTCAGGGCGCATCAGTCCCTTGAGGGGGGCGACGACAGTTGGGACGCTTGTTTGCGTGAAGGTAACCACGCGGTGGATGTATGTGCTAAAGCTGCTGTGCTACTTCGCCCCCCCGCCTAGCCAGGAACAGGAGGATGTGTTCGATCTTTAAGCGCAGCCAGTGCTGTTGGGATGCTGGCGGCTAAGCTCATGCCTTTGTGGCCTCGGTTTGAGCTGGGGCCAGGCGCACATCGAGTGAACGTTTGGCCACCGCCTGTTGCGTCCGAGAAGAGACTAGGGCATGCCTGGTCTTGGACTGGGCGCTTTTGGCAGTGCTTGTCGTGTTTCCGTGGGCCCAGGTCGATCGCGAAACCTCACAGAGGGAATTGCTGCGGTGGAGCTGGCGTCGGGAACCATAGTGTCGATGCTCCTGCGCTCGCTGCACTTGGGCACGAAATGTTTTTTTCTCAACCATCCTGTGGTGTCGTGCCCTCGTTTTGAAGAGGCAGCGCCCCGCGTCCCTCTCCTCTCCTCTCCTCTCCTCTCCTCTCCTCTCCTCCTCCTCCTCCTCCTCCCCCTCCTCCTCTCCCTCCTCCCTCCTCCCATCCGCTTCGTCACCTCCTTGCTTTCCACTTACCCAGTACAGCGTTTCGTGGCCCCATAGGGAGCTCAGCTCCACCGAAGGCTCCAGGGGCAGGGTCAGCATGCGTCAGCGCCACCCAGGACAGCGTTTCGTGGCCCCATGGGAAGGCCCACCGAAGGCTCCAGTGGCAGGGCCCGCATGCGCCACCGCCATCCAGGACAGCGCTTCGTGGCCCCATAGAGAACCCCATCGAAGGCTCCAGGGGCAGGGTCAGCATGCGTCTCCCCCACCCAGGACAGCGTTTCGTGGCCCCATAGGGGGCTCCACCGAAGGCTCCAATGGCAGGGTCCGCATCTGCCAGCGCCACCCAGGACCGCGTTTCGTGGCCCCATAGGGAGCTCCACCGAAGGCTCCAGTGGCAGGCCTGCATGCGCCAACGCCACTCAGGACAGCGTTTCGTGGCCCCATAGGGGGCTCCATGGTAGCTCAACCGAAGGCCCGTGTGGCAGGGTCCGCATGCGTCAACGCCACCCACTGCAGTGCTTCGTGGCCCCATGGGGAGCTCCACCGAAGGCTCCAGCGGCAGGGTCCGCATGCGTCAGCGCCACCCAGGACAATGTGTCGTGGCCCCATGGGGAGCTCCACCGAAGGCCCCAGAGACAGGGTCCGCATGCGCCAGCGCCACCCAAGCCAGCGCTTCGTGGCCCCATAGGGAGCTCCACTGGCGGCTCCAGTGGCGGTGTCGCATGCGTCAGCGCCACTCAGGACAGCGTTTCGTGGCCCCACGGGAAGCTCCACCGAAGGCTCCAATGGCAGGGTCCGCATGCGCCAACGCCACCCAGGACCGCGTTTCGTGGCCCCATAGGGAGCTCCACCGAAGGCTCCAGTGGCAGGGCCCGCATGCATCAACGACATTCAGGATAGCTTGTCGTGGCCCCGTAGGAAGCCCTCAGCGAAGGCTCCAGTGGCAAGGTCCGCATGCGTCAACGCCACACACCCCTCACACAGTTCGTGGCCCCACAGGGAGCTCCACCGAAGGCCCCAGTGGCAGGGTCCGCGTGCGTCACGGCCACCGAGGACAGCGTTTCGTGGCCCCATAGGGAGCTCCACCGAAGGCCCCAGTGGCACCGTTCGCATGCGTTTCCCCCGCCCAGGACAGCGTTTCGTGGCCCCATAGGGAGCCCCACCGAAAGTCACAGTGGTACCGTTCGCATACGTCTCCCCCACCCAGGACAGCGTTTCGTGGCCCCATGGGAAGCTCAGCCACCACCAAGTACAGCGCCTCGTGGCCCCTTAGGGAGCTCCACAGAAGGCCCCAGTGGCACCGCCCGCATGCGTCAGCCAGCACTCAGCACAGCTTTTCGTGGCCTCATGGGGAGCTCCAGTGGCCCGCCCGCATGCGACCCGCCACCCAGTACAGCGTTTCGTGGGCCCATAGGGGGCTCCACCGAAGGCCCCAGTGGCACCGCCCGCATTCGTCAGCCACCACCCAGTACAGCTTTTCATGGCCCCACAGGGAACTCCGCCGAAGCCCCCACTGGCACCGCCCGCGTGCGTCGGCCACCACAAAGCTTAGCTTTTCGTGGCCCCATAGGGAGGTCCACCGACGGCCCCAGTAACACCGCCCGCATGCGTTTCCCCCAACGAGCATAGCGTTTCGTGGCCTCATCGGGGGCTCCAGCGAAGGGCGCCGCCCGCATGCGTCAACCCCCACCCAGTACAGCGCTTCGTGGCCACGTATGGAGCTCCACCGAAAGCGGCACCCACAACGCGTTATTCACAATTGCATATGGTTGGGTCTTTCGCCAGGAAAATTCCCAACCATCCTGTGGTGTTGGGTCTTCGTTTTGAACAGTCAGCGCCCCACGTTCCTTCCTCCTCCTCGTCCCCTCCCTCCTCCCTCCTCCCGTCAACCGCCCGCATGCGTCAACCACCACTCAGCACAGCCCTTCCTCCTTGCGTTTCAACCCAGTACAGCGTTTCGTGGCCCCATGGGGGGCTCCACCGAAGGTCCCAGTGGGACCGCCCGCATGCGTCAACCACCACCCAGCACAGCCCTTCCTCCCTGCGTTTCACCCACCCACCCAATACAGCGCTTCGTGGCTTCACGGGGAGCTCCACCGAAGGCCCCAGTGGCACCGCCCGCGTGCGTCAACCACCACCCAACACAGCCCTATCTCCTTGCGTTTCACCTACCCAGTACAGCGTGTCGTGGCCCCATCGGGAGCTCCACCGACGGTCCCAGTGGGACTGCCCGCATGCGTCAACCACCACAGCACAGCCCTTCCTCCTTGCGTTTCGCCCACCCAGTACAGAGTTTCGTGGCCTCATGGGGAGCTCCACCGAAGGTCCCAGTGCGACCGCCCACATGCGTCAACCACCACCCAACACAGCCTTTCCTCCCTGCGTTTCACCCACCCGGTGCAGCGTTTCGTAGCCCCATGGGGAGCCCCACCGAAGGTCCCAGTGGGACCGCCCGCGTGCGTCAACCACCACCCAGCACAGCCCTGCCTCCTTGCGTTTCACCCACCTAGTACAGCGTTTCGTGGCCCCATGGGGAGCTCCACCTTCATTGGGACCAGAACCGTTCTGGATCAGGTTCGCTGTGCCGCAGGATTGCCGCGCCGCGCGCCGCCCGCCGCGCGGACCGATGCCGGGTTCGCTCACGCCCGAGGCCTGCCGCCGGGCCGAGGAAATTGCGCGCGGCGCATTCCTCGCGGCCCACGCGGCCTCGGGCCTGGCCGCGAGAGTCACCCGGGTGCGCCTTCTCCGCGCGGCCGAGGGCCTCCTGCGCGCGGCGGTGGCCGTGATGCGCGGCCCCTGCGCGGCGCCTGCCGCGCCCGCCCCTGGCGCTGCGCCTCGGAGGCGGCGGCGGCGGCGGCGGCGCGGACGTGGCAATCGTGCCGCTGGTGCAGCGGGCTCCGCCGTCGTGGGGGCGGCGGCCGAGAGCACGAATGCGGAGGCTGGAGCTGCAGGTGGCTTAGTGGCGACGGCTGTTCTGGCAGTTGGCGGCGGCCGCGCGACGGCGAGGCAGCGTGCCCGCCCCCGCGCTAGGCCTGCTGTCGACCTTCCTGATGCTGATGCCCCCCCTGCTGATGCTCGTGAGGGTCCGACAGCTGGGCCGACTTCGCATTTCCCCGTCGCGGCGGCGGCGGCTGTGCTGGGAGGGCGGCGGCTGGCGGCTCGGCCCATCCTGTGCCAGGGCGACCCGAGGCGGAACGCGAGCAGCTCCTGCAGGCTTCGTTGGCGTTGCCGCGGAGTTCCTCGGACTGCGACCCTGGCCAGGAGGCGGAGCTTCTCGAGGAGCTCACGCGCAAACTGGCTTCCAGAGGGCTGTGATGCCCGCGGTGCATGCGTGTAGCGGTCTGTTTAGTAGCTGCGCGCCTCTCGCTGAGCGCCTCCTTGAGGCCGGCATGGGGTGGCTTCGGTGGACTCCCTCCGTTTGGGGGGGGCACGGCCAGGAGGGTGCCTTGCGTGGGCGCCCCTGGTGGCGCTGCAGACCTGGCCCCTTCCCTCTGCTCCGCCGCGCCCGCCTTCGCAGGTGGGTGCCCAGGGAAGGGATTGCTTCTGGGGCCGCCTCAGCTGTCTTCACGACAAAAAAGGTCTCAGTGGCACCGCCGGCGTGCGTCAACCGCCACCCAACACAGCGTTTCATGGCCCCATATGGGGGCTCCACCGAATGCTTCTGGCGCACCTCTCGCGCGTTTCGTGGCCCCGGAGGGAGCTCCACCGAAGGCGCCAGTGCCGCCGCCCGCGTGCGTCACCCACGCAAATTTCGTCACGCCCCTCACGCGTTTCGTGGCCCCGTAGGGGGCTCCAACGACGAAGGCCCCGGTGCCGCCGCGCGCATGCGTCATCCGCGCGCATTCTGGCGCACCCCTCGCGCGTTTCGTGGCCCCGTGGGGGCTCCACCGAAGGCGCCAGGGGCTGCGTTCGCACGCGCGCGCCGCATTCATATCGGCACGCCCGTTGCACGTTTCGCGGTCCCACAGGGACCGCCACCGACGGCCCCAGCGGCTGCGTTCGCATGCACCCGCCGCACCTATTTCGGCGCACCTCTGACGCGTTTCGTGGCCCCGTGGAGGATTCCACCCGCGGCCCCAGCTGCTTTCGCATGCGCGCGCCGGACCAATTTTGGCGCGCCGCTCACATGTTTCTTGGCTTTATATGGGGACTCCTCCGAATACTGTGCATACGACGACGGTATTCACAAGTGCATATGGTTGGGTCCTTTTGCATTTTTTTGCGTGTCTCTCTCGTCCAAAGTTTACGCGGGCCGAGGTTACCTGCGACGTGAAGATGCTGCTTGTCTGCCCTTGCCCATGTCGGGGACTCAGGGCAGACGGCGTTCGTGGAGGCTGATCACAGAACGCAGGCATCCCATGCATAACGGAGTTGCGCTTTGTGTCGGGCCGTGGTGTGACAGTTCGGCGAGGGAGGGGGACCCCGCCCCCCTCGAGCCTCCCCTTTGCCTTCGGAGGAGGGCGACGCTCGCCAGCTGAGCTTTGTGTCCAAGACAATGCTGCTTCCAGAAGCGGCGGGCAACATTCGCACTCGTGCTTTTGCTTCGGCTGCGGCTGCGGCTTATTCGGAGCCAGGATCAGACTCGGGGCTTCCGCTCCTGCTCGCGCCTTGATTGTCTTTCTGGGCACTGAATCGTGCCGCCCGTGCGTCGGCCTTGGGTCAGCCAGCGGGTTGGCCACCCCAATGCTCTCGGCGCGGATTCGCGCCGCCCGTGCTCTGGCCGTCGATCGGCCGTCGGGTGAGCCGTCCCGTGGTTAGTTTTCAGCCATCCTGTGGTGTTGGGTCCTCGTTGTGAAAAGACGCTGCCCCGCGTTCCTCTCCTCCTTTCCTCCTCCTTCCCTCCCTTCTCCCTCCTCCCGTCACCCCCCTCATTTTGGCACACCCCTCTCACGTTTCGTGGCCCCATGGGGAACTCCACCGACGGTCTAAGTGCTACCGCGCGCATGCGTCACCCCTACCCAGTACAGCGTTTCGTGACCCCATAAGGAGTTCTGCCGAAGTCCCCACTGGCACCGCCCCCGTGCGTCCCCCCCCACCCAGTACAGCTTTTCGTGGCCCCGTAGGGAACTCCAGCGATGGCCCCACTGGCACCGCCCGCATGCGTCACCCCACACACAGTACAGCGTTTCGTGGCCCTATAGGGAGTTCCACCGAAGGCCTAAGTGCTACCGCCCGCATGCGTCACCCCCACCTAGTGCAGCGTTTCGTTGCCCCAAAGGCTGCCCCACCCAATACAGCGTTTCGTGGCTCCATGATGGTGATGATGGTGGTGCTGCTGATGATGATGCTGATGATGATGGCGATGGTGGTGGTGGTTGTGATGATGGTGATGCTATTGATGCTGATGATGCTGATGATTCTGATACTGGTAATGGGGATGCTGATCATGACTGGCGATGATGGTGATGATGATGCTGATGGTGATGATGATGGTGATGGTGATGCTGCTGATGATGATGCTGAGGATGCCGATGCTGCTTATTATGGTAATGATGGTGGTGATGCGGATGATGGTGCTGATGATGATGGTGGTGGTGGTGGTGATGACGATGCCAATGATGCTGCTGACGATGTTGATGAATATGCTGGTGCTGATGCTAGTGCTGGTGCTGATGCTGATGGTGATGAGGCTGATGATGCTGATTCTGATGATGATGATGATGTTGATGATGCTGGTGATGATGATGATGATGATGATGATGATGATGATGATGCCGATGATGCTGCGGATGCTGATGCTGATGCGGATGCTGGTGATGCTGATGATGATGATGATGATTTTGTTGCTGATGATGATGGTGATGATGATGGTACTGATGACGATGCTGATGGTGATGACGACGCTGATGCTGCTGATTATGATGATGCTGATGGGGATGCTGCTGCTGATGATGGTGGTGGTGGTGATGATGCAGATGATGATAATGCTGATGATGATGATGCTGATGGTGATGATGCTGATGATGATGATGCTGATGCTGATGGTGATGCTGCTGATGGTGGTGGTGGTGGCGGTAGTGTTGATGATAATGATGATGATGATTGTGATAGTGGTGGTGGTTGGGGTGATGATGACGCTGATATTGATGATGATGCTTATGCTGGTGATGATGACGACGATGCTGATGATGCAGATGCTGATAACGGTGATGGTGATCATTGACGGCGGTAGTGGTGATGATGCTGATGATGATGCTGATGATGGTGATGCTGCTGGTGATGTCGATGATGATGGTCATGCTGCTGATGATGATGATGATGATGCTGATGCTGCTCATGCTGATAATGGTGGTGATGATCACTGGTTGCGATTGTGGTGATGATGCTGATGCTGATGCCGATGATAATGATAATGCTGATGGTAATGCTGATGATGATGATGCTGGTGGTGGTGGTGGTTGTGATGATGCTGCTGATGATGTTGACGATGATGACGATGCTGATGCTGATGCTGATGCTGATGCTGATGCCGATGCTGATGATGATGCGGATGCTGATGATTATGATGATGATGATGCTGATGCTGCTGATGATGATGATGACGATTCGTATGCTGATGCTGATGCTGATGCTGATGCTGATGATGCTGATGCTGATGATGCTAATGCTGCTGCTGATGATGTTGACGATGGTGATGATGATGGTAATGACGATGCTGATGCTGATGGTGATGATAATGATGATGCTGATGCTGACATTGGTGATGATGCTGACGCCGGCTTGAGACTCTCTTGGTCCGAGTTGGAGTCTTCTTGGCCGTATGGTGGGTGTCTGGGGGCCGTCTTGGGCCGTCGAAGGGCTTTCTAAGGCCGTCTTGGGTCACACGGGAGGTCCTCTTGGTCCGTCGTTGGGCCGTCTCGGATGTTTCTTGGGCCATCGTTGAGGCCTCTTGGGCCGTCTTGAGCTGACGGCAGCCCGAAATCGCATGAAACACTCTTTAAAATTCAGAGGTCGGTCATCCATGAGTTTGGTTTCTTCGGACCCTATTGGAGGTTCTCTTGCGGCAAGTTTGGGCCTTCTTGAATCAATATTCGGCCGCATTGGGGCCATCTTGGGCCGTCTTCGAGGCGTATTTGGCCATCTTGGAGTCCCTGGTTGCCTGCACGGGCCGTCTTGGTGCTCGGGACGCGTATCCATCGTTTCTAACAGGGGATCGTTGCTTGGGAGGCCAAGGAGCGCTTGGCGGCAGCGGCTGGAAATGCAGGAAGTGCACCATCCTTTAGCGGGCACGCGTGGAATGGGGGCCATGCTGGAAGTGCACCATCCTCGAGCCTGCCGCGCTCCGCGCGCCAGGGAGGCCAGCGCAGAGGAGGGAAAAAGACAGGGGGGGGGGCGTGGGGGAGGAGGAGGAGGGAGGTGCGAGGAGGGAAGGGGGGGGGGGAGGCAGGGAGGATGCAGGAGGAGGAAGGAGGGGGGAGAGCAGGAGGGGAGGGAGGAGGATGAGGGGAGGAACAGGAACCAGGGGAGGAGGAGGAGGAGGAGGAGGAGGAGGAGGGGGCCCGGCGCAGATCCGCGTAGTCCGTGCGGACTTTCGAGACATCATGCTCGCGTCGTGT